CCGGCCCTCTTTCCTGCCTATGCTGGGGGTCGGACTCGATCTATTGAGGTCCCTTCTGACCCTAACATCTATGAATCTATGAAACTGTGTGTTTTCATGCAGTTATACATTTTCCATTTTATTCACCCATGTTTACAATTGGAAGACTGTTGTATCATTAGTGTGGGCCAAGGCATCCTTGTAGGTAAAACTGCATTATTGCATCCAGTAAAGGAAATGATAATTTGAGTTGCACTTTATCTATGAAAAGGTGCAATATTTTGCTTTAGAGTATGTTTATAAACCTAAATTCAGCCTTTTTTTATCTTCTTATAAAAAAACAAACAAACAGTGTTCACATTCATGAATTTCAGGTGAAATTTATTCTTTTCCTTAGGACACATCACTTCACAAGGGAACAAGAAAAGTCTGGGACAAAAATTAGCAGGCATGCTCATTTCTGATGCAGACTGTAGGACAATAGAAGAATTGCATAATCCTCATGAAGCACTTCGGGTGTTAGTAGATTTGGTTAGTATCATGAAAAGCATTCAAGGGGCATATTGGGCCTTGGCATTGCTCTCCTTAAATGAATGTAAATACTGTTGATATACATGCAGTGTTTTGTTCTTAATTTATAAACTTGTTTTCATTTTTCTTTTTTAAATATTCACATAGCTGAATGATAAAGAGGAAGCTTTGGCTCATCAGAGGAAGGTTAGTTACATGCTGGCCCGTGCAAAGGAATTAAAAGAGGAAACTTCAAAGCAAAGTAAAGAAAATAATCTTTCAGGAGAGAGCATAACTCAGAAGAACTGTCAATACAGCACCACAGAATCCCAAGAATCATCTCATTGTGCAAATTCTTGTTGCCAAAATCCCGGTTCTCAGAACAGCACTTGCTCAACTTACAATACAAAAGTATTAAAAAATTCATTGAGATCACTTAGAAAATCATATTCCTGGCCCCCTGGGACCATGCATTGTAAAGAAAATGATGCACATGAAATAGGTAGAACTACAGATGTCGACTCTACATCTTAAATACACTTGGAATTTAAAAAGTAAAAGAAGAAAAATGTTTGGTAATGCCAAGGGATAAGGAAACCTGCAGAAGCTGGATGTTATCCAGGAAGTGCCAAACATGTAAATGTTATATTTGTAATCAAAATCCCAGGAAAATCTGTTTTATAAGCTACATATATGCAATTATTTCAATGCTCAGGTTAAAGAAGTACGCTGCTTTAAAGTTTTAAAGCTCTTCTGATGCTGTTTTCATACTGTATAACGCTATAGATTGTCTGTGGCCTCTGTCCCTGTTAAAATGAAAGGTCAGGATCAGACATTTATGGCACACTTGGTCTATGAATTAATGGAAGTTGTTGTTTTTACCCTTTTTCATTCTTAATCGTGTGTTATATATGCTAAGAAGTTAGACATTTTGATTCTTTCCCAATCCTGATATATATTGTCAATACAGAACTAGAAAATCCCAAGAGTCAACTGATTTTGTGCATTTGTGTTGCCAAAATCCTGGTCCAACACAGTGACTCCAAAATGTGTGGAAAATCAAGAGCCACATCGTGTTATATCTGCTAATGTCAGTTAATGAACTATAATAGTACATGTATTTCAGAATACTATATGTAAAACACAGCTCCTCTGGAAAGAGGTTTTCAGATTTGAAATTCCAGTATATAGCTTTGTAGTTTCAGAGATTGTGTTGTATTATGAGTGAGTTAAACACATAGTTACATTATGAGAGATTAATTTCCTGAGCCTGTAGTTAAACAGGAACTTTTTACACACAGTCTAAAAGCTGCTTTAAAATTAGACTTCCTGGAAAATAACCTTCCAATTCCCAACTGATTTTTCTCATTGACTGAAAAACCCCAAAACATTTAATTGTTTACTCCTAATATTTAGTATATTTATAATGCCTTTGGATGTTATGAATCCTTGATGCATTTATAAATATGGAATGAATAGTAGTTTCTGCTAAAGGGAAGCTCAGGATTAGTATTTAATGGTGCTGGAAGACCAGTGTGAAAACCAAATGTGTTTCCTTGAAGTCTTAAGAATTCTGCTGTTAATTAGAAGTGTGATTTAGGCCTAACTATATTAAGAACCTGACCAAATTCAAGCACAATGGGGTAGTATAGCTGGGGACCAACTTAATATCTGTTAAATCCAAAACATGCTTAAGGTTCTCTTTTAGTGAAACATACTTAATAGTTTATTGCAGCCCCTTAGAAAAGTTAACATACCTGTGGAAGACACCTGTGCGTGTACTATTGTTGGCTCGTGCTGTTAAACATTGTTTTGGAGACACTGAATTTCGTCACAAATGAGATGATGTTGCTGGACCCTATCCTATTCCCCTCGAAGTCAGTGGTACAGCATGGCCCTACACTTTGATTAGGAGCTCTGGGTACTACCACCTTACAAGCAACAAATAATATAGCTTAATCAGGAACTTCTTGCCAGTCATCAGGTTAGCATCTGATGAACTAGGTTGGTGCCCATGAAAGTTCATGCCTTTCTGAACTAGTTACTCTTTAAGATGTCCCCTGCCTGACTTCAGACTAACACAGCTAACCAAATCTCTGTTCAGAAGCTTATAATAATTGTTTGAAACCAAGGTACTATTGATATTTTTTATAAATTGAACTTAAATTATTTAAAATGTTTATTTCTGTTAGACTACGTATATTTCCAGACTTGTGAAATCCTATTTGGCAATACAGTTTTATGTATCTGTGACTATGCTAAGCAGCTCTTTTATTCCAGTTCTATAATAAATTCCAGTAAACTTTGGTAATCCTTAAGGACAGATTCCCATGACACAAACATCTTAAATTATACAATTTCTTGTTAGATCAGTCTGGTGAAATGATTTCTTCTCAACTTCATATTGTTGCTAGTCAAAACATGGAAGGCAGCATCCATCTTTCTTAGTTTTTTGTATTTGTTTCAGCATCTTAATGGTTATTACATATAATTGTGAACTTTACCAAAAAAATCTTATTTTTAGTTTTGAAAATGAAATTCTTTGTTAAACCAGACTGCTACTGTTGTAGCAGGATGAGCAATATATGCATGTGTGAGAGAGTGTCCTTGCACAGTAGTGGCCTACATTTCAAAGGTATTATGTGGACATCAGTGGAAGATTGAGTTGCTCAGTACCTCCTAAAGCGGGGTTATAAAATGTTTTAAGTTTTATTTTGAGCTTTGTTCATTTTTTTTTGGTCTTTTTTTTGAATGGCCAGTTTATCAACTCAAATTTTTTTGCACCCACTTTCCCCAACTTTTGATTCTGTACTGTCAGATTATGTTCTCTGACTGCCCCTTCCCTCCAACTAATGTGTTCCTAAAAATGGTTCCAGGAATACATGCATCCATCATTAGCATAATAAGAACAATCTGCTAATGACAGTCCATTAGTTATACAAAACTTTGAACAGTAGGTTTCGATCCTCCCCTCTCAGGAAATAGTTCTCAAAGGCAAAATTATTTGAGCTCTACTTCCAAGTTGCAGCTTCCTTAGTATATCTGATAATAAATGCTGTTTCTGGATTAATATTCCCTTGAGGTAGATTGGAGACATTGATGCTGGGTAGGCTCTTAGCAACAGGTATTGGTTTACATTTAGACCCTGTTTGGAAGATTATCTTCATGGTAAAGCCTATTTTTAATGGATGTTTAACTGCTGGGTTGTAATTCCAAATAACAGATTGGATTTTCCAGCAAATTATGTGGCCATGACACCAGAATACATGGAGTCCTGCCATTTATCTGAGGGGAGGGGGGGAAATGTCAGTATGTTCAAGCTTATTTATTGAAGGAGCAGATGTGAGGTTTGCAAATGAAGTTCAGCATGTCATGAATATAGCTGTGGCAATAAGTGTAGAAAAAGAAACCTCATTTGTACCTGTGGCTTTCCTTGGGGTAGTATATCTAAAGGTATAAAACCAGTACTGTTCAACCTTTCCCTTTGCTTAATTAAGGGAATAGTGGAAGGAAGGAATGTACGTGCATCTTCTTTTCCAAGGCTTAGCTGAAAACCACTATAAAGTAAAAAACAAAAAAGATATATCTATTTTGATCTCTGAGTATGATAATCTTAAATGGACAACATGGAAGAAGCTATTGCATATGGTACTGATATCAGTCTTGCTCATGATGGAATAAATGGACAGCAATGGGAATTCTTACCATTCAAACACCATCTGCTCTAATGTATGATGTAACAATGGAAGGAGGCATGCCAGCCTCAAAAAGGGAGCAGCTTTGTTCATTTTTGGTGTCTTTAACTTCATCAACTATCAGCTTTTTTTGTCCAGTGTGGTCTATAATGTCACCAATTAAATCTAATATGCCTTCTGGCCAGGTCCCCCAGATGCCACATGCATGTGCACAGCCACAGCATGTATGTGGCCAGGAGTGCAGCTGAGCAGCATGGAGAGCAGCACCCTGCAGGTAAGTCTGTGGGGGCATGTGGGAGGGAGGGGCAGATCGAGGCCCCCATGATGACAGAGGGAGTGGGGCAGGGGCTGGGGGCACTACCCTGTCAGGGCAGTGAATTGGGACCCTGGAACCAGGGTAGGGAGCAGGATGGAGCTGTGGACAGGCACAGCTTTTGAAAGGAAATAATATTTAAGGAAATAACTTAATATTTGTCCAGAGGGCATGGAGGGCAAGAGAGAGGGACAGTTCCGCGCCACTGTGCGTAGCCCCCAAGGGAGGCATGGGGGGCATGTGCCCCCCCGGATTTGTGCATGGGTTGGAGGTGGGTTGCCCACTGCAGACTTGGGGCTCTCTACCCTGCTACCTTTGTCTTGGGAGCCGTGCGCTGGCTGCGTGTCCCCTGTCCATCTGGCAGCAGTGGTGGCAGTGAGTTGTCCCTCTTGCTGCCAGGTGGGCAGGGGACCTCCTGCGTGGCTTCTGGGCCAAAGGCAGCAGGGTGGAGAGCCTCAAGCCCACAGTAGGCAACCCGCCTCTGCCCTCGCCCCGCTTGGATCTGCTCTGCTCCTAAAAAGTCGCCACACTTAAAAAATGGTAGTGGCAGCGCTTGAACTAATGCTCATTTGACAAGCTTTAGTTCAAGTGTCCCCACTGCCATTTTTAAGCACCGGGATGCTGATCCCCTGGACAAGCTGCCTGCTGCTTTGTCCCACTCCCCCACCCAGGCCCCAGGTCCCACTCACCACCCTGGATGGGCACCCCCAGCCCTTGTCTCTACCCCACTCCCTCCCTCATTGTGGGGGTCTCAATCTGCCCCCACCAGACCCCTTCCCTCCCCTACACTCCTTTCTCTCCACAGACTTACCTGCAGGGAGCTGCTCTCCACAGTGCCTGGCTGTTCTCCTGGCTCATTGGCCAAGAAAATCTTTTATCTGTGCACCCCTAGCTTTTTCCTTCATTGAATCTGGAGACTGGTGTATACTTTGGATGTATTAATTCTATTCTTCCCTTGTGCTTCTGTCCCTCTTGTACATCTCTTTGTTTAATTCCATCTCTTTTCTTGCCATATTCCAAGTCGGAAGCTTCTTGGGGTAGGAATCGCCCTATTTAGCCTGAGATTGATCTGTGATATGATGGTTTTATAAATCTAATTTGAAAGGAAATAACTTAATATTTAAGTCAGCACAATTTAAAATACAGTTATTTCTGTTTAGTGTGTTTGATTTGGTTTCTATGGCAATAAGCCTTTCCAAGATTTAATTCTGTATGCTTATTGGTGTCTTTCTCACAAGCCTCTATGATCTTGTCATCTTTCTTGTTCTCTGTCCCTTGAAATTGTAAAATCCCTGCCTCTTGGAGCTTGCTTTTTTCTTTTTAAAAATCTCTCTTCAAAGTTGTATGCTGATATAAAAGTATACCATAAATCATAATGACATTGTTAGTTGTGCAAGTGTAGCTCTGGCCTTGGATCATTGTAAAGAAGATCTCGGAACAAATTCATTCTAAATGTACAGATTTAGGCTCCACAAGAGCATAGGCTGCAACCGGATGGCATTCAATTTCTTTTAATGATATGAGCATATTTTCTTATTCTTGAAGAAACTGAGCTAATCATAGAATCAGAGAAAATTGGAGTTGGAAGGAACCTCATCTAATCCAGCTCCCTGTGGATGGCCCAAAGAAGGGCCATCCTCAACTAGATCATCCCAGCCCAGGTAGACAAAGAATTGGCTAGGAAGATACAGTTGGGGCTGGTTCTGCTTTTGAGCAGGGGGTTGGACTAGATGACCTCCTGAGGTCCCTTCCAACCCTAATTTTATTCCATGATTCTATGACTAGCTCAGTTTCGACCTAAAGGGCTTTAAAAATAAGAAAATATGCTCATGTAACAAGCTTGTAGGATGATGATTTTTAGTGTCATTTTTTAACTCAATCATTAGGAGGGATGCCCCTGTTCTTTGATTTAAAACCAACATGGTAGACTGTCTCTGTCCTCTGTCTTTAATTATGGTAAATTTATGGGAAACTGCCTCTAACTGGACGAGCAAAGTGGGGAAAGGGACTATCCGCAAATCTTTTTTTTTTTTTAACTTATTTTTTTTAACTTTGTAGCTGCCTATCTTGAGACTCTGAGAAGTGATTGCTAGAATCATAGAATCATGGAAGTAGGGTTGGAAGGGACCTTGTAGATCTTCAGGTCCGACCCCCTGCCTGGGCAGGAGGAAAACTGGGCTCAATTGACCCCAGCCAGGTAGGCATCAAGCCGCTTCTTAAAGACCCCCAGGGTAGGAGCCAGCACCACTTCCCTTGGAAGTTGGTTCCAGATCCTAGCCACCCTAACTGGGAAGTAGTTCTTACGGATGTCTAATCTAAACCTACTCTCCAACAACTTGTGCCTGGTATTCATAGATTCCTTGTTATCCTGGGGGGCACTAGGGGAAACAAGGTCTCCCTTAAACCCTTCTGGTCCCCCCTGAGACTGCTTTTCCAGCTACAGCTGAAATCGGGAGTTTTGCTTCGGTTGTAAGAAGTGCTATAAAAACATAAGTATGCTGATCTAAGCTCCCCTTGTTGTTCAGGTCAAGGCATGATAGGATCTGATGTGTAATGCACACAATCCTGCCTCCTGCTATGCTGTTCATTCTACTCTTCCCTTGTGATGCTGTCCCTCTTGCACATGTTTTTGTTTTAGTTTCATCTTTTTTTTTCTTGCCATTATTCTAAATTGGGCGCGGCAGGAAGTGTGATTGTGGGGTCCAGCATTGGATCCTATCGCCTTAATGCCGGTGCAGTCGTGCTCAGTCAGGGCTCAGGTCATGGTAGGACTCCCATCTGTGCGGCACCTGGTGCCCTTGGTCAGTGTTTCTCAACCCATGGGTCATGACCCCAAACTGGGTCATAGTAATATATGAAAGGGTGGCAAACAAGCTTTTAAAATGGATTCTCCTTTAAAGGAGAAAAACATGGGGAAACTGTGGGTTTCCCCTTGCAGGCTGGCAGAACTTCAGGGTGTGAGGGGCTGCTTAGGGGCCCCCAGCCCTATACACTGGGGGGTTGGGGCAGCGGGTAGGAAGTGAGGGCACAAAGTTGGGACTGGCCACCCATGTTTGCAAAGGGGTCTTGGTACAAAAAAGATTGAGAACCACTACACTAGGCAGCTGAGGGCTGCCCTGTCACCTGACGAGACTCGCAGCCTCAGACCCTGACGTGCAAATTAAACCATGTAGTAACCAGCTATAAATGTACAGGCAGACCTCAACTTACAACGTTTTGAGTTACAATGTTTCGCACTTACAATGTTTATAAATTGACACCCTGTTTCAACTTTCTGACATCAGTTTCAACTTTACAACGCTTGATCTGATGCAATGCCACACCAATGAACAAGTTCGCGGTGTCGCCCATGTCCCTGGAAGACTTCTGTCCAAACTTCCTTGGACACTTTCTTTAAGAAAGCAGCCAAGACTCCTGAGAAGGCTCCGGCCAAGAGCCCTTCAAAAAGTCCAGCAAAGTCACCTCAACCCAGTCCTTCCAAATCACCATGATTCCTATTTACAATATAACTACACTAATGTAGCTGTGTTACTCATCCATAATTGATTGAGTACAAAATTCTGGGTTATTTTTGGTGAAAAATGGGCATTGGGCCTTGGTTCAGGAGCCAGCCCCCATTTATAACATTGTTTCTTATGGGAAAAAAGGTTCCCAGTTGCAAGGTTTGAGTTAACGTGCAGGTTTCAGGAACCCATTGTGTCCTTAAGGTCCGAGGACTGCCTGTATTGCATATTTTCCAGCTGTAACTTTATAACTTTTGATGGCTTGATAATTGCTTTGCTGAATGAGCCACTTAATTGCATCATGCATGCAAGACGTAGAGAGGGGGCTTAAGATGTCACTTCAGCGCAGGGGGTGGAAAATGCCCAGTCAGTAAGGCGTCAGCCCGCCCGGAGGGGCAGGGGCAGGCCCCAACCCCACCCCTCCGGGCCCGAGGGCGGCTGGGGGAGGAGC